CCTCATCCACCTCTTCCTCCTCCTCCTCCGCCTCCTCCTCTTCTTCTTGTCCCTCCTCCACCACCTCCCCCCCAGTTTTCTTGTCCCTCCACCGAGCGGTCTTCCACGAAAAACAAACACCCAACCAGAACAACACGACGCGAGCCGAGCGGTCTTCCGCTGAAGACGTACGCGACAACAGAGAAAGAAACGACACGCCATGCGATACGTAGCTAGATACACGTAAATATATGCTTCATAAGCTCCATATGTTCCAAGCTGCTTAACTCTTACAATAAACATATGTACCTGCACGTACACTTGATGTGCAGAACGTAAGATATCACATGTTTCCATGTAAATTAGCTGTTGCTCGCAACACACTACAATTCTACACTTGTGAGTACAATCGACTGTGTGACATTGAGTAGACATCAACGCTGTATATCAAATACCGGGGTACCGGGGGCCAGGGCCCCGGGCCGGGACACCCTCCCGAATTTCCCCCCCCCCCCGTAACCCACTTCGCCCCCGGGCGTCCAGAGGCTCTTTTGCGCCCCCGGAGGCGTCCACCACGACTTCCGGGGACGGCAAGAAGCCGCCAAGACGGCCCAAGAGCGCTCCAAGACTTTCAAGATAGCCCCATCAAGGCCCAAGGGGCCCCCAAGAAGCCCCAGGGGCGCTCCGAGAGGCTTTCCAAGAGAGCCCCAAAAGGCTAAAATCATAGATCTTCATTGTGTTTTTCAAGGTTGTTTGCTTGCCCGCGTTTTCGGGCTTCTGACCTTCCAAGATTGCCGAGGAAGCCTCGAACATCGCCCCAAGACGGCCCAAACGGCCCCCGAGAGGCCCCCAAGACAGCCCAAGAGGGCGCCCAAACGGTCCAATAGGCGCCCAAGACGACCCAAGAGGGCTTCAAGACGGCCCCAACAGGTGCCAAAGAGGGGAAGCACGAACCGACAATGGAGATTTCCGCCCCAATAGGCCCTCAAGAGGCCCCCAAGAGGCCCCAAGAGGCTTAAAAATGCCCCCATCAGAGACCCCAACGAGTCCCCAAGATGCCCCAAAACGGCCCAAAAGGGTCGGCCTGCGGGGCTCACCGAACCCCCCGAGACGGCCCAAGAGGCCCCGAAGCCGGCCCAGGAGGCCCAACCAGACGGCCTCAGGGAGGCCCAAGAGGGCCCCGTTCGAAATCATGTTCCTGGAAGCCTCTCCGGGAACATGACTTCCGGGTTCCGAGGATGCCCTAGAGGGCCCCAGGACAGCCTCAGCGAGGCCCAAGAGGGCCCGCGATGGCTTCAAGATGGCCGAAGGGGGCCCCAAGAGGGCCTTCAAGAGGCAAAAATCAGCCCGTCACCGTAGTAAAACGTACAGACTCGGCGCGAGACAACTGGCGACCGCAGCTGCCGTCCCTTCGTGCTGGGCGAGTGCGAACCTGGCGTTCAGTTTGGACGGGACGTGTCGGGTCTGTTGCCAATCGGGGCTGCGCCAGGTTAGGCCACCCCCAAGGTCAGGTTCGGGAATGGGTCGTAGCAACACGACGACGACGACGACGACGACGACGGCACGCCCCACAGGCTCCCTAAGACGCCCCAAACCCATGCTCCCAGAAGGCCTTCTGGGACCCCGATTCATGCGGCCTCCGCCCCCTACACAACAATTTTCCTCGAATGCCTTTCGGAATGCAGATTGGTATGCGTGGACTGTAATCCACTACTTCAGTGGAGCAGTGAATTCGTCAAGGCCTGGGGCCTGCTAGAACCTGAGCGCGCGCGAAGCGCGCGCGATGGTTCTAGTTCAATTAGAGTCGTAATCACTACAGTCGCTGAAGTGCGGATGGATGTATCAGGAGATCCCAAAGAACCCGCAGAAACTGGAGAACCCCGAGAACCCGGAGAACCCGGAGAACCCCGGGGAACCCGGAAAACCCAGAGAACCCCGGAGAACCCAGGGAACCCGGAGAACCGGGAGAACCCGGAGAACCCAGAGAACCTTGGAGAACCTTGGAGAATCCCAGAGAACCCCGAGAGCTTTGGAGAACCTTGAGAACACGGATGACCCGGAGAACCCAGAGAAACCGGAGAACTTGGAGAACCTGGAGAACCGGGAGATCCTGGAGAACTGCAGAAAACCCGGAGAACCCCGGAGAATCCGGAGAACCACCCCGCGGGGTGTTCATGATTCTCAAAGGAGTATCTTCGGGCGGAAAGCTCGAATTTTCGGCTCGTGGTCCCCTTCTTGGGCTTTTCTTTGGGCCTTTTTGAAGGCATCTTGGGCTGTCATGAGGCTTCTTGACCCGCGCTCGGGCCTTGGACCGGCGTGGGACCTTCTCGGGGGCCTGAAGGGCTGTCTTGAGGCTGTGTTGAGGGTGTCCCGGGCCGTCGTGGAGCGTCGGGAGAAGCCTACACACACACATATATATATATATGTGTGTATATATGTATATATATATATATATATATACATACATGTAGTAATAACAACAATAATAATGATAATAATAATAATATAATAACAATAATAATAATAATAAGAAGAAGAAGAAGAAGAAGAGGAAGAGTAATAATAATAATAATAATAATAATAATAAATGTGAGCACCGAAATTGGGGCTCCCTATGGGCCAACAAAGCGTTGCACTGGGCGGAGGGGAACGCATGCGGGCGGTAGCACTGGGGCCGTCAATGGAGCTCCGCATGGGCCACGAAGCATTGTACTGGATCTGGGGGGACGCACGCGGGCACCCCCACTGGGGCCTTCGGTGGATCTCCCTATGGGGCCACGAAACGCTGTACTGGGTGGGGGAGACGCATGCGGGTACCCCCACAGGGGCCTTCGGTGGGATCCCCGATGGGGCCACGATGCGCAGCACTGGGTGTGGGGGTACGCACGCGGGCACCCCCAATGGGGCCTTCGGTGGAGCTCCCTATGGGGCCACGAAACGCTGTACTGGGTGGGGGGGGAACGCACGCGGGCACCCCCACAGGGGCCTTCGGTGGAGCCCTCTATGGTGCCACGAAACGTTGCACTGGGTCTGGGGGCAGCATGCGGGTACCCCCACAAATGCCTTCGGTGGAGTTCCCTACGGGCCACGAAACGGTGCACTGGGTGGGGGGACCGCATGCGGGCAACCCCACAGAGGCCTTCCTTGGAGCTCCCTATGGGGCCACGAAAAATTGCACTGGGGGGGGGGACCGCATGCGGGCACCCCGACTGGGGCCTTCGGTGGAGCTCCGTATGGGGTCACGAAACGTGTGAGGGGTGTACCAAGGCGAGGGGGGTGACGGGAGGAGGGAGGAGGGGGAGGAGGAAGTGAGGAGAGGAGGAGAGGAACGCGGGCACCGTCTCTTCAAAACGAGGACCCAACACCAGAGGTTTCGTCGAAGCCTGTTGGGGCGTCTTGGAGGCGCCTTGGGGGGCCTCGTTTGGGGCTTGTGAGGGTCTCGTGGGGGCCTCGTGGAGCCACTTGAGGGCCTTTGGGGGCATCCTGGGAGCCTCTTGGGGCGGAAAGCTAGAATTTTCGGTTCGTGGTCCGCCACTTTGGCCCCTTATAGGGCCTTCTTGAAGGCTTCTTGGACTGTCTTGAGGCCCTCTTGACCCGCGTTCGGGCCCTTTTGGGCCGTCGTGGGACAGTCTCGGGAGGCTGTTGGGCCGTCTTGAGAGGCGGTCTTGGGGGGCTCTGGGGCCGTCTTGGAGCGTCGGAAGCCCGAAAAGGCAAAAAAGCCAAAAGCTCTTCAAAAAACAAATGAAAAGCAACGATTTTGGCCTCTAGGGGCCCTCGTGGGAGGTCTTTTAGACGCCTCTTGGGGCGTCTTGGAGGCATCTTGGGACTGTCTGGAGGCCGTCTTGGGCGTCTTGGGACGATGTTTCGGCGACTCGGGGCCTTCTTGGACCGTCTTGGAAATCTGTTGGGGCCCTCGTAGCCCGTTTTCAAGCCCTGGATACCACCCCAGCAGAATTCCTGTAGCAATGTAGCAAAGAACCCCCCGGTCGGCCAGGTCAAAATCAACCGAACCCGGCTCCTGGGGGAGGGGTTTGGGGAGGGGGAAACATCTCACACGCCGATGAACCCCAAGGGGTCGGCGGAATGTCTTTTTCACCCTTCCTCTCGCGACCGCTTCTCCGGCCACAAGACGCCAAACCCGCCCCGAGAAGACCCCCGATTCGTCCGGAGGGCGCCCAGGGAGATTTCAAGAGAGCCCTTGCGACGGCCCCAGAGACACTGAAGGCGACTCGGGGGACCCCAAGAAGGCCCAACAGCCCCCCCAAAAAATTGCCCCAAGGTCCAGCAGGGCCAACTCTGGAGCACTCCCTCCCCATTGGAGCGCTCCCCCTCCTCCCGCCCCTCCCACGGCCAGCAACCCCCCAAGATGCCTCCCAGAGGCTCCCAGACGGCCTCCAGGACATTCCCCAGGGGCTTCCCGACAGCTTCCAGTTGCTCCCTCGAAACGGCTCTGACATGGTCCTAGAAGGCCCCAGCTCATTGGAGAAAGTGATACCCCATGAGTTCCCAGAAGGCCTCCAGCAGATCCTTCCAAACGGTTCCGATAGGCCCGCAGAGAGCACCAGATAATTGGAAAAACCATACCCCACACCTCTTGGAACACCTCTCGGGCGGGAAGTGTTGCAGAAAATAACTGTCCGATCCAGTCACGGACACCCAGGAACGCTGTTTCTGCGCCCCCCCCCCCGCGCCGAGCGTCTCCCAAGAGGTGTGGGGTGTGATTTGTTCCCATCATCTTGAGCCTCCCTCTCCTCCCCGTCGTCGCCCTCCTCTGCCACCGGCGCTCCTGCTGCTGCTGGAGTTGCTGCCGCTGCTGCTGGAGTCGCACTGCTGCTCTTGCTGCTGGAGCTGCTGCTGTTGCTACTGCACGTCTCCATAGATATGTTGCCGCTGATACTGCTAGCGCTGCTCTGGGCACCGTCATAATCATCAAGCAAACAGCGCACCCTGAAGCAACGAGAAGCAGCAAGCGCACTCTGACCACTGGCATTCGTGGACAGTAGTCCACGGGCCAGCCCAAGTCACGTACAATGCTGGAATCAGCGCGTGCGCGAAGGGCGAGCAGTGGCAGACGGCCTTGCTGTTGTTCCGTGAGATGTGCGAGGAGAAGGTTGAGCCAACCGTCATCAGCTGGAGTGCTTGCATCAGCGCATGCGCGAACGGCGCACAATGGAGAATGTCAAAGCATCTGCTCAGCGAGTTATTGGCGGCAGGGGTCGATGTCGGACACCACGCGTACAGCGCTGCAATAAGCGCGTGCGAGAAAGGCGCCGAATGGCAGCAGGCGTGGCCGCAGGGTGACCCAAAACGCGTTCTGCAACCGCTTCTTGCCAACGTGTAATTTGTAAGTGGAACTGCATGCGGGCGCTGCAACTGGGGCCACGAAACGTCTGAGGGGTGCGCCGGATTGGGGGCGGAACCGCGTGCGGGCGCTGCCATTGGGGCCTTCGGTGGAGCACCCTATGGGGCCACGAAACATGTGAGGGATGAGACGAAATGGAGGTGGAACTACATGCGGACCCTGCCACTGGGGTCTTCGGTGGAGCTCCGTATGGGGCCACGAAGCGTGTGAGGGGTGCGCCGAAATGGAGGCAGCGGCAGGGGGAGAAAGAGGAGAGGAAAAGAAGTGGGACGCGGGGCGCTGTTTCTTCAAAACGAAGACCCAACACCACAGGATGGTTGGGAACTAACGCATGAAAGGGCGGCACCTCCCCCTCTTAGGAACGTCGCCGCTCGGGCCTTCTGTGCAGCTCCCAATGGGGCCACGAAGCGCGCGAATGGTGTACCCAAATGGGCACGGGCCGGACGCTGGGACCTTCGGTGGAGCCCCCTATCGGGCCATGAAGCGATGAGCTGGGCGGGGGAGACGGATGTGAGTGCAGCCTCTGGGGCTCTCGGTGGAGTCCCCGATGGCGCCACGAAACGTTGTACTGGGCGGGGGAGACGCATGCAAGTGCAGCCATTGGAGCTTTCGGTGGAGCTCCCCATGGGGCCACGAAGCGCTGCATTTGGTGGCAGAACCGCATGCGAGTGCAGCCAATGAGACCCTCGGTGGAGCCCCCGATGGGGCCATGGAACCCTGTGCCGGGCGGGGGAGGCGCATGCAAGTGCAGCCATTGGAGCTTTCGTTGAAGCTCCCCATGGGGCCACTGAACCTTGTACTGGGCGGGAGAGACGCATGCGAGTGCAGCCATTGAGGCCTTCGGTGGAGCTCCCTATGGGACCGCGCAACGCTGCACTGGGCGGGGGAGTCGCATGCGAGTGCAGCCATTGGGGCCTTCGGTGGAGCTCCCTATGGGGCCACGAAACGCTGTACTGGATGGGGGGGGCGCATGCATGTGCAGCCATTGGAGAGTTCGGTGGAGCTCGCTTTGGGGCCACGAAACGCTGTACTGGGTGGGGGAACCGCATGAGAGCTCCTCCACTGGGACCTTCAGTGGAGCTCCCTATGGGGCCACGAAACATTGTATCTGGTGGAGGAACCGCATGCGAGTGCAGCCACTGGGGCCTTCGGTGGAGCTCTCGTTGGTGCCACGAAACGCTGTACTGGGCGGTGGAGACGCATTCGAGTGCAGCCACTGGGGCCTTCGGTGGAGCTCCCTATGGGCCACGAATCGCGGTACTGGGCGAGGGAGACGCATGCGAGTTCCGCCATTGGGATTTTCGGTTGAGCTCCCGATCTGGCCACGAAGCGCTGCACTGGGTTGAGGGAACCGCATGCGAGTTCGGCCACTGGGACCTTCAGTGGAGCCCCCTATGGAGTCCCTTTGGGAGCCGTCTTGGGCCATCTTAGGACCATCTTGGGCCGTCTTGATGGCCTCCTGGCCCGTCTGACGCCGTCGGAAGCTGTCTTGAGGGCCTCCCTGTGCCGACTTGGGGCCCTCTTGGGGTGCTCCAGGGCCGTCTTGGAGGCCATCTTGGGCGTCTTCGAGGCCTCGTGGGCCGTCGTGGGGCCCTCTTGGGGCAGTTGTGGGGGCCTCGTGGGCAGTTCTGGGGCCCTCTTGGAAGCCTCTGGGTCGATCTTGGGGCGATCTTTGGGGGCTCTTTGGCCGTCTCGGGCAGTCGGAGGACCGAACAGATGCAAGCGCCAAAATCGGTCAAAAACCCAAGGCCAGTCAAAGAGTTTGGCCTCGAGGACCTCTTGGAGGGCTCTGGGGCCGTCTTGGAGGCCTCTTGGGGGCTTCTTGGGCCGTCTTGGAGATACATCTTAGGCCGTCTTGGAGGCATCTTGGGGCCATCTTGGCCGTCTTGGAGGCCATCTTGGAGCCATCTTGGAGGCCGTCTTGGCGGTCTTGAAAGCCATCTTGAGCCGTCTTGGGAATTTGTTTGTGAGAATTGCGGGCCTTGTGCGGCCTTTCGGGTGGCCAGCGGGACAAGCCGAAGCCCCAGTGAGAGTTTGTTTGAAAAAGATGCACAACCATCCCGTCTAGTATCCAGCACCCCCGGCACCCCTGTGGCACGACCACAAGGGGCGGCGAATCGAAGACGCCTGCGGCGAATCACCGCCGACCCCTGCCCCTTTGGAAGCGCCTCTGTGGCCGACAGGTGGGCCAGAGCTTGGCCACGCTGTCGGGCCAGTTGTTCCCCGAGTCGGTTTGGAAAGACTCCGGGGAACGCATGGGGGAGCAAGAAGAGGAGGAGGAGGAGGAGGAGGAGGAGGAAAAATGAGGAGGAGGAGGAGGAGGAGGAGGAATGAATGAATGCATGCCCTTCCTGGTCCCATATGTCTCTGCTCTGCTGCTAAATGTGCTCTACAGCGTGCGCTAGTGCTACGATCGGACGAAGACGTGCTGAAAATCGGCTGGAGTTCGGCCTACTCGACAAGAAATCTACAAGGCCAACGAACCCACCGACCCTACACTCCGAACCTCCTACACGGCCTATGGAGCCTAGGAGGCCAGAGCAGGGCAGGGACACCGCCTCGTGACCCAGCCTGCTCGGGCCCGAAGCTGAAGACCCCCCCCCCCGAGGCACCCGAAAGGGGGCAGGGGACGCCCACCCCACAGACGGGACGCCTCGGCGGAGGTGCCATCAGCCTCGACGACGAATTACATCCCGACGAACGCTCTGAACTCGAGCGTGCCGATCGAGATACACTACTTCACGCGACGGAGGAGGAGGAGGAGGAGGAGGAGGAGGAGGAGAAGAGGAAACATCAGCAGCGGCAAAACGGGCGGCCTCAGATCCCGCTCTCTGAAGTCGCTCAGCTGCTCGAAGTAGCTGTCGGGATTCAGCAGAAGTATTTCCACCAGCAGTCGAAGAAAGCGAGAGCCCTGCAGAAGTATTTCCACCAGCAGTCGAAGAAGACGAGCCAGCAGTATTTCTTTCCGCAGTCGAAGAAAAAAACGAGCCAGCAGAAGTATTTCTTCTCGCAGTCGAAGAAAGCGAGCCAGCAGAAGTATTTCTTTCCGCAGTCGAAGAAGAGCGCGAGCCAGCTAGCGGTACCTCTCCTCGTGCGAACGACTCTCGCCAAGCTCCTCGAGCACCTGCTGCACGCGGCGCGCTATGTCTGATGAAGGCGCCATCCCGTACTTGAAGATGCCGCCCTGGTTGCCCAACAACGTTTTGGCATGCTCCCAAGCCGGCCACGCCACGGCCGATCTGTTCACCTTGATCTCTATCGTCGCGTAGTCCCGCGCGTACGTTTTCTTCACGCGGCAGTAGGGGATGTCCTTCTGCAACGCGTGATGTAGGGCCTGCATGCCCCTGGAGTCCTTTATCTGCGTGTAGTTGGCAGTGTAGCGCTCGAAGTCCGTCTTCGCCTGGCCGCTCAACTGCACGGCCTGCTGCTCGGCTTTGTTCATGATGGCCAAGAATATCGACGTGCGCGGGAGACCCAACTGCTGCTCGCGATCCTCCTTGGCCACTCCCGCTGCTTGCTGCGCGTAGCCGCGACCCGCATCCAAGCCGGCCTGCACCATCTCGACCGACAACGGGCACACGCACACCTCCAAGTCCGATACCGCTCTCGCCACACGTGCCTGATACTCGGCTGCCAGTCCCAACTTCGCTACGAGAATCATCATATCCTGCATCGCCTTCAGATTGTCCTTGTCGGCCTCTTTCAGCGCCTTGCCGAGGGGCTCCTCCCTGCGCTGCCGCTGCGCAGGCGGGAGCGCGAGATCGAGGGGCATGGCCTCTACGTCCACGGAGAGGTAGGTGGCCGAACCGCGCGGCCAGTTCTGGGATGATCTCGAGCCCCGAACGAGCTACTGATAAATGAATATCTCGAGGCCCTGGAACATGCGACCGAACATGAATGTGATATAATGCCAGAGACGTATAGTGCTGTTCACACAAAGGGCATACAAGTTCAACTTCATCTGGTACACTTTGTGGTGTTATGGCATGATCCGTAAGACACCGATTCTGAATGAAAGCATGGCGCACATGTGATACCGCTGAGTCCCGACTGCTAAACCCAGACGAACACCATGGACACATACTACTTTGCACGAACTTCTCAACATGTACGACACCGTCCGCTCTTCGAACACGAGATTGGTGGACTCGCAGGGCTCTAAGGGTCTCGAACGTCTCTCCACACTCCTGTCCATTCGGGAGAAGATCATGACATCGGTATTCACGAGCATGTGGGGGTTCATCTTCGGGATCCTGAGGGGGCTGATGGTGGCCTGGAGGAGGCACGGCAACCGAGAGGTACTTACTCCGAAGCTCTGAGACGTCGATGTCCAAGAAGTGGGCCTTCAGATCCTGATCCAGCAAGAGCCTTTGGGGGGCGCCCTCATACCTATCCACGAAATCCGCACCCTCCTCGAGTTCCGTGAGCGAGTTCAAATCCTCAATCATCCGTTTCACGAAAAAGTTAAGTTCCACTGGGTCCTGCTCGAAGGGCATCTGGGGGGCCAAGAGGATAGTCAGGAGCTGTTCGTTTTTTTTTTTCTGGGGCCCTGAACATTGCCTGGTACCACCTCAATCTCTGAATCCTGAGCTCCAACGAGACGGGTGCTAATCGGAGCAGCTGCAAAACTCGTGCAGAAGCGAGGCTAGTCTTCTTCTCGGTGCCGTCGGGAAGGAGGGTGGTATTCGTCGCCGCGCCCTGCATCAATTTACGACAATACCATATCTGAGTTCTGTCGAGCTTGGCCTCGTCCTCTTTGGTAAAAGGCAGCCCCAAGACACCAGACATGAGACAAGCCATACACATCATGCGAAACAAGATGATCTTGAAGTCACGGCAGACGCTGCTGAACCAGAACTTGTGAAACATGTACCAGTTCTTCTTGCACGCTTGAATCCGTCGATTAAGTTCCACACCCGTGT